AGTTCCGATTGTTTCAATAAAAATTTCACCACTAAGAAATAAATGTAAAAAAATTCTTTTTTATCTTTTAGTTATGATGTCACGTTTTGATTTATTTCTCGATCATGATGTTTAAAAAAATCTTAACATGCTTAAAAATAGGAAGGATAAAAAGATATGATAATGCTTTGAATTTTTTAAGAAAGAAATGTAGTTTATTTATTAATAATTTAGTTCAATAGGTGTGAAATATGTATTTAATGTACGCAGGATATGTATTATGTTTGTGTGTTTATGTGCATAGATGTATATTTATCAATATTTATTTTATGTAGCATATTTCAGTAGCTCTGTATATAGATATACATACATATCAGCATTTTTATATACTACCAGACATTTTCAATTTTACGCAGATTTTCTCTGCGGACAAATATTTCGTAGTTCTTTAAATGAACTCATGTATGGATTCAAAAATGTTCCTGTTTATGGATTGGTAATTCAATAGGAGTACAGACATTGTTTTAGTTAATGAATCCACATGTGAGTTCTGAAATATCCTAATCTATGAATCCGTATATAAGTTTCGAAAAATCTTTTATTATGATGTACTAATCCATGTTTCAAATTTCAAAAGCTATGGTCTACTCCCTTTGCTATAATCTACGCATCTCTCCATCGAGAGGACACCCAACCTAAGGTCTTCCTAGATCAAATGGGTTAAATCATCCTGATGGTATATATACTTTCCAGTGATCTATCTCTAAGCCCATATATGAGCTTCGAAAAATCTTTCGCTATGGTCTACAAAAACCAAGTTTGAAATTCGAAAAGCTCTTTGTCATGGTCTAATCTAGTCCCCATCGAGATGACACCCAACCTAAGGTCTTCCCAGATCAAACAGGTTAAGTCATTCCGATGTATACATCTTTTGTTATGGTCTATGAACTCATTTGTGTGGACGCTGAGTTATTCAATATACGCTAGGATATCACGTACGCATTCTTTACTAACGAAATACTTCCAGGCTGACAGAAATATTTTTTAAATAAAAAAATAATAAAAGAAATCAGAACTCGGTTTTCTGAAATGCGTTATCATAACTGTTAATCATCGGTCATCTTTCTTCAAATGAAAATGTTAATTGCTTTAACTGCAAATTTTCATTGACAAATGTACACAGTTATAATAAATATGGTTGGGGACAATATCAATAGTGACGGTTGAGACAAATATTTAGTCATTAAGATGTTATCAGCTCTTGTAGAGATAATAAGATTATCAGCTCATGAATTAGGATTTTACTTAGAAGTGTTGGTACAGAGCACTAAATATCGTATAAATAATCATTGAAACGAATGATAAGATTAGATATTTTAGTTCAGGTTTTAAATTATTCAGATGTAATAAAAGCATTTTGCATTGAATGTTTAACATATTCAACTCTACTTGCTTTTTGTTTTCAGTGCTGAGAAGTTTTAAAAAAAATAATTAAAATTTTTTAACACTAATTATTAGTATTATCCGAACCAAACTAAATAAAAAATATTTTCGTAAATACTTTATAATACTTTAATATTTTATAAGTAAAATTTAATTAAATACCGCAATAGTTGCACTATTATCAAATATAGGTTTTCCTTCGCACGCAGTTCAATTGACATAGTTTAACAAAAATGAAATTTGTTCTTTTCCAGTAGGATAAAATTTCGACTCGTATACATATTTCCCGAATTCTTTATCTAAAAATACTTTAAGGATTCACGTAATGAATACATGCAAGGTAAAATATTTCGAAACACTTTCCTTATGAGACCTAATCAGAAAAAGGATGTAAGCGCCTACAAGAATTAAATAAATTTCCTTATCTGAATGAAGGTTTCACTGTTCCTTATTGAACTATTCAATTATTTAGACAGAGATGAAGGTTTCACTGTTCCTTGTTGAACTATTAAAATATTTAGGACCAGGTAATTAAGCTTTGTTTAAAATAATGTGCGTATCAAATAAAAGATGAAGACCTTAATAAAATAGCTTTTCTCAGGAGAAAGGAAATCAAATAAAAACCAGTTTTTTCCCCCTTGGTTTATGTTAAGAAATATTTATATTTTATAATTTAATTAGTTGTCCTTTATAACGTTTAATAAAAATGAATAACATATAAGTTACTTATATTTATTTTTATCAAATGTAATATTTAATATATTATTATTATTATTATTAAATGCAATATTTAATATGTATTTAGCATTTAATATATATTGTGTAGTTTTAACATGTTAATATATTTAATACATTACTAAATGTAATATTTAATAAATTAATGTTTAATATAATATATAAGCTTATAATAATATGTAATATTTAATATGTTATTATTATTAAATGCAATATTTAATATGTATTTAGCATTTAATATATTTAATATATATTGTATAGTATTTAACAGGCCCACCAGCGGCCGAGCGGTAAAGACGCTGACCACTGGTAGTTCGGCCCGAGGTTCGAATCCCGCGAACGGGCTGGCTGCATGGGCGTCTTCGTGGTTTTCCCCATGTGTAACGTGTATACGAGCCAGTTTCCCTTAGAAAGTCCTCCACAAAAGGCATCTCTCCCCTTAGGCAGATAGCCCTAGTGCGATTTGTCATAATTAAATACACGCACATAGTATTTAACATATTAATATTTTTATACTAAATGTAATATTTAATATATTAATGTTTAATATACTATATAAGCATATAATAATATTTAATATTTAATATATATATATAAGTTAATCCTTGCGTGGATATCATCTCTGAGAATGACCATTATTTTTTTGAACCGAAATAAACATGAATCCTGTTCTCGCGTTCACATTCCTAAGACAAACATTTATAATAATTGAATATTTATTATAATAATTCCTAAGACAATCAGTTATAAAAAATTAACTTGTAGATGATATTGAAATTATAGACAAAAACACATGCATAACCTTTGAAAATTTGTTTCAAAGTTCTATTTGCAAAATACTGCACAAATGCTTTAACATTTGCCTCTGAATTTACAAACAGCATTTATTACATGAATCAAAAAAAAAAAAAAAAAAAAAAAAAAAAAAAAAACATGCATTTCTTATTTTTATTCTCTATTCATGTTCCAATTCTGTGTTTTTATTCAATTATAATTCTCTACTTGTATTCAAAACTTAAAACTCAAAGGTAAAAAAAAATTAAACCAAACTCATGTGAAATGATGACATACGATATCTATTTTCTTGTATTATTTGAAAAATATATCATAATAAAAATTTAAACTCTTCAAAATAATTAATAAAAATATCAGGAAGCTAAAAAATTAGTAACGCAGCTTTAATTATAATGATATATTTGTTTTCTATTATAAATTAATTTTATAATAATGGATGCTTTGTAAATACGGTTTAATTAGTTGAAACAGGTCTGAGCGAAGTTTCAATTATTTAAAAATATTAATATCTTTGAAAACACATTGCAAGTTCAAGGGAGAATATTGGTCTATGAAACGAAACGAAAAATTCTGTAATATTTACTAGTAAAATTGGCTTTTTAGCATCGCAAGTATAAACAAAAATTGTAGTTGTTAAAATTTTATTGCAGAAATTTAAAATAAAACGTAAAGCGATTTTTAAAAAAAATATTAGTTATTATTTGGTATTTTTACTTATATTATATTTAAACTTATATCTTGTATCTTTGTAAACATATTAAAAAAAAAACTTTAATATTTTTTACAGAAACTCGCAAAAAAAAAAAAAAAATGGTCAAATCTTTCCAGTACATATTTTCAAAAGATTACTGCAAAATAATATTTACTAATTTATAATTATTAGTTACGAAATTAAAATTTAGTTGAAAGGGTTAAGTACTTCAGTAATCGTTTTTAACTAATTGTTAACTAATCATTAACTCCCTGAATCTGAAAATATTCATAAAACATTATTTTTTAGTTACAGATATTAAAAAGCATACATTTTGATTCAAACATGAACAATTAAGGTATTCTTTAAATTTATATATCAGGAAGCTCCTGTGGAACTGAAAGGAAACAACTGCTAATATCATCAAAAATAATTAAAAATAAAGTTTAAAAACAAAATCTGAAATGTTTCAGATTTTAAATTACGTCCAAAGGGGCGTTTTTTAACATTTTGTGTGTTACCTTTCTTTATTAAATATCATGTTCCTCGCACTTAAACTATAAGATCCAGTGCAACAGCAATATCGCAAAATAGTTTTAAAACGAGCATATCTTTAGAATTTCCGATACAGAGACTCACGCGCTGGAGATAAAAATGTTTTTTTCTGCACAACGTTGCCATTGCTCGCTTTGAAATCCTTGAGTTTGTTAATCAAAAAATTCGTCAAAGTTTTTAAAAAATAGGAAATCGATCATAAATCAAATTTCAAATTTCAAATTTGGTCTTCCACATGCTCATATTCGTTGGAGAATTACGTTATTCAAAATTCGATGACTCTATGTACCGTTATTTTATGACAATGTGAGAAATATACATATATTTACGCAGATTTTCATTATTTAATTTCTTCAAATATAATGCAGGACTCTAACATTTTATGGCAACAGTTTGAAAAGTGAACCGACATTTATCCGTCCGACGCAAAATGCCAAAACGAAAGTAATAGTCCTTTGGACTAATAAAGTATCAAGTCCCTTTGGACTAATAAAGTATAAAAAACAAGGAAATTTCTGATATTAGGTTTTTGAAGGCAAGATGCAAAAATAAAATTTTGTAGGATAGAAGGTTAAAAACATTTTTTTCCCGCATAAGTAATTTGCAAACCGATATTCTTAGCCAATTTTTGCTATTTCCCAAGACAGCAGCATTTTCTAATTTAAAGTGCAATTTCTTTTTTGCAATTCTGTTAAAATTGCAGAATTTCTTTTTGTGCAACAAGCTTACAAAAACTAACAATTTTCCCGTCAACTATCATCATCCGCAGCATTAATAAATTAATTAATAATTAGAAACTTACCATGATAAGCTTTTAAAAATTTGGCAACTTGACTGATGTTCTATTTTGTTAATCCTTCGGCTACCGTTTATTCATCCAGTTCCGTTTGACTTTTCCACTCCAGAAACTAGTTCGAAATCACTACTACCTCCGCTCAGTCGAACGTTTCGTTCTCTTTCGCTTTAGCAAAAAGAGCTGCAGGCTAACAACCGGTCCGTTACTGGAACTTTGGCAAAGAGTTAAAAAAAAATAAAACTCAAAATGAAATAAAGGAAAAATATATCTAAAAAAAATCAGGTCAATTTGATACGTAGGTTGGTGGATGAAATGTCCACGTTAGTTTTCTTTAAAGATATGCGCTGATCACTTTTTCTATAGAAAAGCTTTTTTTCAAAGATCGTCCGTAGCAAATGACTTTTTTCCGAGATCGTCTGCAGCGAATCTGAACGGGACTTGTTCTTCGTAAAGTCTTTGAACAAGGTTTGGAATATAAAAAGTAAAATAGAAATTTTCGAATAAGAAAAAAGATGAAAAGTCCCAGCGAATAACGCAAGTTTGGCTGTCACGTGACCAGTACGACCAATGAGGTTTTCGGAAAGTAGGTGACCAACGATGCGGTTAAAATACGACGATCGCAAGCAAAGAAGTTTTTTCTCTTGAGTTTTGAAAACGCTTCTAGGTTAGTAGTGTTTTCGTTTTTGAAGGCAGAGAAATCTGCTTTTCTTTTCGGACTCGAAAAGAGTTTGGAATATCTTTCATTTGTTTAAACATTTCTATCAATTTTTAACAAATTTATGCGGACCAAATATTTAATGTACGCAAAAAATAGAATTCGGATTTTTTAAAGGGCTTTTTTTAACAATGAAAAAAAAAAAAAAAAAAAAAAAAAAAAAAAACAGTGCTTTAAAATTCTAGCTCCGAGAAGCATGAAATTTATGCAAATGCATTACAAAAGTTTATCGGAATTAAATCAGATTTATAAATGAGACATTTTGAATTTGATTAGAAATGTTTTTTTGGAAGTATAAATAGTTTCTCATTGAATGGTTGACAGAAGAACTGTTATATGACCCAATGATACGCTATTCTTTTTAATTTTAGACTAATTTCAAACGAGTTTAGTAGGTAGAGGAGAAGAAAATTTTAAGAAAAAAATCTTATATGTTAATTGCGCGGAATATTTCAATAGATCATAGTTTTACTATTACCGTCGGTTTCAGAAAATTGAAAGTATGAGCAGTGTCTTACGTTTAATTTCGTTACTTATTGTATCATCTAGGTAAATATCTAAAATTAGTATTATTGACTGAGAGTAGACTACGAAGATTATGTCAACAGTATGCAAAGCATTTATTTCCTCGAATTTCATTTTATATGTACTTACCATTCAATTAATTCAGTTATCATTTCGCAGCAAGACGAAAATACATAAAAATTCAAAGCACTTTCATTAAAAATTTTAAACTCCAGAAAAACATAAAAAAACAAATACAGTTAAAAGAGTTAAAAAAACTAACCATTCGGCCAACGGGCACGAAGACAGATTTTTTGGTGCGCAAAATTGAAAGTATACTTTTGTTCCTACTCGGTAAAAAAGATACTGAAGTTGGTGCAAAAATGACTTACTTCACTATTTTACTAAGAGTTTCAAATGTAAACAAATGGCTGCTTCGTTAGGCTTAGCATCAGTTAAACTATTAAATTATTGATATTTCTACAACTATTGCATGTAGCTTAACTAAATATACATATCTTAACCAAAAATAAGAACAATATAAATCAATCTCTTTTGAAGCTAAAATTGCACAATTATTCAACATCTAAGACTTAAAAAAAACTGAGCTTAACGAGCCGGGTAGCATAATGGAGCTCTTTCTCTCTCTCTATATATATATACATACATACATGCGTACAGACGTAGACAGAGATACATACATACGTACGTAGGTACGTACAGACGTCAAGAAAAAAAATCGCTTCTGAATTCATTTTACAGTCCGTTTTTGGAAGCAAGAATTTTTTATTCTGTCGTACGTACAGATGTCACGCAAAAACATCGTTGCAATGGATTTGAGAGCGGCGAAAATGTATATTTTCGTTAAAATATAATACCGGAAATTTTTCGCGATTACAATACTTTCTTTACTTTTTACAATGAAGTAAAAAGTTTGAAGTTCTTTACTTGAGTAAGTATCATATCTGATTCTCATATGCATTAAGTATAAAAGTAAATTAATCAGAAATTAAATGAAGTTTTATTAAAGATGAAAAAAGCAAACTGCAGTAAATGTTATTGCATAAGGTATTTCTCCCGCTTCCTTAGCATGCTTTCGTGATGTAGTGGTCAGAACGCTCGGAGCATATTGGAGAGGTCCGTGGTTCGATTCCCGGCGAGGGCATTGCTCATTGTTCATCTCTCCTGCTTCAAAAATATATGATGTCTCTAGAATGGTATTTGATCTCAGAAATGAATAATTGTTGATCTCTTTTACATCGGGCAAAAGATGAGGTCAATATTTTGTTTAGAAAACTGAATTTTATAATTTCATTTAATTTTCTATGCTTAAGTTTCCTTCTTACTTTTTCAGCAAGAATTTATTAATTAATAAAACAATGGGAGAGTAAAAATTATCCTTTTTTACATGTTGCGCTCACAAATCATTATGAGAATATCCATTTACAATTATTAAAAACCTGAAAAAGGACGTCTGGGATGTTATCGTCATGCTATGATTTGTAGATACTTTATTTTTTTACCACGATATTTTCGACGACGATGTTTTTAAACTGCTAAGTTTTTGAACCGCTTCATTTTCGACGACGATGTTTTAGAACTGCGATGTTATCTCTTTGCGATGTTTTCTCTCACGATGCTTTGTAGCACGACGGTTTCGCCTTGCGTTGTTTTTACCGTGACGTTTTCGTCCGCCACGTTTTTGCCACGATGTTATCGGCGGACATCCCAAATCCCCAGTCGCCCTTTGAAAAGGGAGTATGTAAGGTATTTTCTTCCTCCTTTCCACATGTCTTCGTGATGTAATTGAAAGCATACTCGGTGCGCATTCGAGAGATCCAAGTTCGAGTTCTGGTGAGAGCATCGCACATTTTTGACGTCTTCCTGCTCCAAAATAACCTAATGACTGTACAACTGTAATAAAACCTGGCTAGTTTCACAAAATAAAGTTCTCGAATTTCAAAGTTATTTAAAAATATTAGTGTTAACATAAAAAAGACGCACAAACCAAGAAGTAAACGACAAAAATGAAGAAATAGGTCCTTGTATTATTGAAAGGGAAAAAGGAGTTTTGATATAATTAACTGTCTTAGTCCCTTTGTATTTAGAAAGATTAATGTATAGCATAAGTTATTTACACAGAGATGGTACCTGGGCCTCAACGCTTCTTACAAGGAAAGTGAGGTATGTAAAGCAGAAGACAATATTTAATATCTATATAGGTATGTTCTAGAGATGATCTAGATATTAGATATGCAGTTCTAGATATAGAACTATGAAGTTCTCTCTCTGTAAATATAGATATATCTAGATATGATCACGTAGAAATGATATTCCCCCATAGAATTCTTATGTAACTAAAGAATAAGATGTAGAGTTTTATAAAGAATTATTGCATTACCGCTACGCGTGCTTTCTTGATTATAAGATCATCCAGCTAACAGTTGGAGAATCCGTGGTTCGAATCCACTCAAGAGAACGTTAAATTTTTATGTTTACTGCTGAGAAATGCTAGCGTCTCTATAATTTGAAGCACGTATTTAATGTTTCTAGACAAATATGAAATAACTGTTGACTTCATGTGCATCGGGTCAGTCCATAAGTTCGTGCGCATTAAGAGTATGCGTGGAATTCACTATTATACATTTACTAAAACAATATAATTTTGAACCTTTTGAAACTTTTCATTGTTTGACTAACATATTATTCAGTTCATCACCAACTTTCGTAAATATCGAACGCATTTTAGTACCAGGTTTAATCTGTCAGGTTTGCAGCTATAAAAATTAATATTGTACATGTTGAACACACTATTAGTGTAAGGACTGCCCGGAAATGGTTTAAAAATTTAAAGTTGGAAAAAGCAGCATTGATGACGAACCCCGTTAAGGACGTTTTGAACTGTTAGAACCAAATCAAGCGATTAATTCAGAAGTTTAATAGTGAACAACTTTGCCGTCTAAACTCAGAATTGATCAGAAAACGCCCACGATTGGTGAATATCAAGAAAGTGTTGTTTCATCCCGATAACGCTAGACCGCATACGGCTCGGCTCGAACAACGCCGCAAAAAATTAGTGAATGTAATTGGGAGCTTTTGCCACATCCTGCTTACTCCCAACCAAGTGTACCAAAATTTTTTACTGGGAAAAAATTAAATTCTAAACAGGGTGTACACAAAGAACTTTCAAGTTTTTTTGCATCAAAACCAGAGTCTTTCTACAGCAATGGCATAAAAAAGCTGCCTGTAAGATGGCGAGACATTGTACATAATGGAGGAAAATTATATAATCGATTAAAATGTTAAATTGTGTATTTTATATTATTTAAAAATTTACCAAAAAATGCTCACGAATTTATGGACTGACCTAATAGTTCCAATCCTCCTTTGTGTACAAAATGGATGCAACTACTAAAATGATTTACTTGTAAACAGATTTAATGAAAATGGACGGATCCATATGTACGAGAGTGTTCCCGGGGAGTTCAGGAATTAATTTGTTTTAATTTTTTAGACACGCTCATACGAGAGATAAATATTACTTCTAATAATTCGAATAGTTTTCTAAAGCATATAAACAAATGACATATACCTAAGAAAATGTTTTTCGATTTTCAGTATCTTGTTTATGAAGGTTTTCAAGATATTCTTGCTTTGCAAAAGTTTGAATTATACTATTTTGCTTTTATGAGAATTTAAACTTGTATCTTCTTTCTGTTAACTAAAGAAATCCGAAGGTGATTCTTGCTTTTAAGAAAGAGACGAAAAGCAAAGGTAAACTTCGAGTGTTTGCTTTATGCAGTGTTTTTATAAAATATTATTTTAATCTTAATAATAACAAAAAGCTTCGCTAGCTATTTTCTTTGCATGAGATGAACTGCATGTTAAAAAACTGCACCACTTTAAGCAATCATGTGTCTTATTTAAAGCCTTATTAAAGCCCGAAGTAAAATAAAATCAACCGGATAGATATAGAACCTGTAGACATATTTGATCAGGTGAATATAAATGATGATGACGATTTACTAAACGATGTTCGTACTCTGTCTCGTAAACATAAAAACTTGTGTTTCCAGCTAAAACATCTGCTACGACTCAAAGCGCTCTGTCACCTTTTCTACAACTTTAGTGTTTTTTAGTTATATCGTTCTTTTTCTGTTTCGAATCATTGAAACTACATCTTACTTAAATTGTTTCTGTGTATATGATCTATGTATTTATTTCTGTTTATGTA